CCCTCCTCCACACACCCCCCCCCTTTGTAGCCCCCCCGGAATAGAAAAAGACAAAAAAATCGTTATTTTAGATACTTTTATTATGAATCCTTTTGTTATGACATGGCTGGAAACCATTGACCTTATTAAAGACAAAAACCGCCCCGAGCTGCCACTTTCTGCCCCAAAACGGGGCTGGGGGGACTGGGGGGGGGTTGGGGATTTTGTGGAATTTGAGGGGATTTTGGGAGAATTTGAGGGGATTTTTGGGGGATTTGAAATTTTGGGAGGATTTGTGGGGATTTTTGGCGGCAATTTGGGGGAATTTGAGGGGATTTTGGGGAGAATTTGGGGGGATTTTTGGGAATTTGAGGAATTTGTGGGGTTTTTTGGGGGAAATTTTGGGTAATTTGAGGAGGGGGTTTGGGTTCCCCCCCTCCTCACTCGCTGGAGGACTCGGAGCCATCGCTGGCGCTCTCCTCCTCCTCCTCCTCTTCCTCCTCTTCCTCCTCCTCCTCTTCCTCCTCCTCGCTGGGGCTGAGCTGGGGGCTGCGGGGCGCCGCGCCCCCCCCCTCGCTGCCTTCCTCTTCCTCTTCCTCCTCCTCCTCCTCCTCCTCCTCCTCTTCCTCGTCGTTGTCGCTGCCGAAAATCTCCTCCTGGTCCCGCGCGGCCCGGGCGGCGTCGCTGCCCCCCCGGCGGCCCCCCCGGGAGCCTTCGGCCTCCTCCTCCTCCTCCTCCTCATCCTCGCTGCGCCCGGAGCCGCCCCCGCGCTCCGAGCCCGAGCCAGAGCCTTCGGCCTCCTCCTCCTCCTCCTCGCTCTCGCTGCCCTTCGGCCGCTCCTCGTCTGCCCGGGGAGGGGGGGGGTCCTCAGAGGGCTGAGACCCCCCCCAAATGGGGGGATGGGGCAGGGGAGGGGGCCCAGTCTGTCCCCGTCTGTCCCAGTCTCCCCCAGTTTGTCCCAGTGTGTCCCAGTCCCGCTCACCGCGTCTCCAGCTCGTTGTAGTAGACGCCGTCGCCCTCGCGGAAGATGAAGAAATAATTCTCCTCGTAGCCCTTGCTGGCCTTGTTCTTCACGTTCCAGTTGTACTCCCGGGCGATCTTGTAGTCGTACCTGGGGGGGCCGGGGGGGTCGGGGCGGGGCCGCGGGACCCCCGAGAACGCCCCCAAATCCCGACGGGGACCCCCAAAACCTCCCCGAGTTCGGGGGCGTCGGGGTCGCTCCTGGCAGGGATTTGGGACCCCCAGAACTGCACCCAAAGCCCCCCCTGGGGGGACTCAGGGGACCCCCCCAATCTCAAGGGACTCCCCTCAATCCCAAAGACCCCTCCCCAATCCCAAACCCCCTCCCCAAATCCCCAATTTTCCCCCAAATCCCCCCGGGATTCGCTGCAGGTTTTTCATTTCCCAGGAGCCCCCAGAGCTCTCAAACCCCCCAATAATTTTTTAAAAATTTTTTTATGATTCTCCTCGGGTTTTGGGGCCCCCCCCGGGTTTTGGGGCCCCCCCGGGTTTTGGGCCCCTACACGTCCTCGGGGGCGTAGTCCACGTCCTCCTCCTGGTCCCGCTTGCGCTTGCGCAGCGTCTCCTCCACGGGCAGGAAATAGGCCACGAACTGGTTCCCCTCCTCGTCCATCATCCCCCTGGGTGACCCGAATCGGCCCAAAATTACCCCAAAATCAGCACCAAAAAATACCCCAAAATCAGCCCAAAATTACCCCAAAAACAGCACCAAAAACGGCACAAAATCAGCACCAAAAACAGCCCAAAATTACCCCAAAAACAGCACCAAAAACGGCACAAAATCAGCACCAAAAACAGCCCAAAATTACCCCAAAAACAGCACCAAAAAATACCCCAAAATCAGCGCAAAATCAGCACCAAAAACAGCCCCAAATCAGCCCACAATTACCCCAAAAACAGCACCAAAACCAGCCCAAAATTACCCCAAAACCAGCCCAAAACCAGTGCAAAATCAGCACACAAACAGCCCCAAATCAGCCCAAAATTACCCCGAAATCAGCACCAAAAAATACCCCAAAATCAGCGCAAAATCAGCACCAAAAATTACCCCAAAAACAGCACAAAACCCAGACCAGACTCAGCCTAGAAACAGCCCAGAATCAGCCCAAAATTACCCCAAAATCACCCCAAAAACAGCACCAAAATCAGCACCAAACCAGCCCCAAAATCACCCCAGAATCAGCCAAAAATGAGCCCCAAAAAACAACCCAAAATCACCCCCAAAACCAGCCCAAAACGAGACCAGAGTCAGCCCCAAAATCGGCCCAAAATTACCCCAAAACCAGCACCAAAAACAGCCCAAAATTACCCCAAAACCAGTGCAAAATCAGCACAGAAACAGCCCCAAATCAGCCCAAAATTACCCCAAAACCAGCACCAAAAACAACCCAAAATCACCCCCAAAACCAGCCCAAAACGAGACCAGAGTCAGCCCAAAATCCCCCAAATCGGGGTCATTTCGGGGTGGATTTGGGGTGAATTTGGGGGATTTTGGACCTGATCATGGCCTGGGACATCATCTCCAGATTTTGGGGTTTTTGGGGTGGATTTTGGGGTGAATTTGGGGGATTTTGGGACCTGATCATGGCCTGGGACATCATCTCCAGCGCCGCCGCCCCCGAGGTGTCCTTGGGGGCCGGGTCGGAGTCGAAGATCACTTGGGCACAGGGGTTGATCCACATCTGGGGGAAAAAACGGGGAAATTGGGCAAAACAGGGCAAAAATGGGGGAAAAAACAGAAAAAAAAGAGGAAAATGGGGAGAAAATGGGGGAAAATGGGGAAAAATTGAGAAAAACGGGGAAAAATGGGGAAAAAACAGAAAAACAATTGGAGAAAAATCGGGGGGAAAATGGGGGAAAAATGGGACGGAAAAATGGGGAAAAAATGGGGAAAAACAGAAAAAATCAGGGGGTGGGAGGGGGGAATAGGAAGAGGGAGGGAACAGGAGAGTGGGGGGAAAACTGGGGGGTGGAAAATGGGGATTTGGGGTGGAATATTGGGGATTTTGAGGGGGAAAAGGGATTTAGTAGGGAAAACAGGATTTTGGGGAAAGAAAATGGGATTTTGGGGAGGGAAAATTGGATTTTGAGGGTAAAATTGGGTATTTTTGGGGGGAATATTTGGGATTTTGGGGGGGAAAAAAGGGATTTTGGATCTAGGAGGGAAAATGGGATTTTGGGGAGGAAATTGGAGCTCAGGGGTGAACAGGGCTGGGGAGCCCCAAAATCACCTTGAAGTCGGGGAACACGGGCATCACCTCCAGGGGGGTCACCCGGGGCTTGCTGTAGTGCTGAGAGATCTGCAGGGAGAGCGGGGTGAGCCCCAAGCAGCCCCGAAGAAACCCCAAAACAGCCCCAAAGAAACCCCAAAACAGCCCCAGGAACCCCCAGAAACAGCCCCAAAGAAACCCCAAATCCTCCCCAAAATCACCCCAAAATCAGCCCCAGGAACGCCCAGAATCAGCCCCAAGAAACACCTGAATCCCTCCCCAAAAATCCCCTAAAATCACCCCCAAAACACCTGGAAAAAACCCAAAACCCTCCCCAAAATCACCCCCAAACACAGCCTAAAACCCCCAAAAACTCCTCACCAAAAACAGCCCAAAATTACCCCAAAACCAGTGCAAAATCAGCACAGAAACAGCCCCAAATCAGCCCAAAATTACCCCGAAATCAGCACCAAAAATGGCACAAAATCAGCACAAAAAACAGCCCAAAATATCCACAAAATCAGCACCAAAAATTACCCCAAAATCAGCGCAAAATTAGCACCAAAAACAGCCCCAAATCAGCCCACAATTACCCCAAAATCAGCACCAAAAACAACCCAAAATCACCCCCAAAACCAGCCCAAAACGAGACCAGAGTCAGCCCAAAAAACAGCCCAAAATCCCCCAAATCGGGGTCATTTCGGGGTGGATTTGGGGTGAATTTGGGGGATTTTGGACCTGATCATGGCCTGGGACATCATCTCCAGATTTTGGGGTTTTTGGGGTGGATTTTGGGGTGAATTTGGGGGATTTTGGGACCTGATCATGGCCTGGGACATCATCTCCAGCGCCGCCGCCCCCGAGGTGTCCTTGGGGGCCGGGTCGGAGTCGAAGATCACTTGGGCACAGGGGTTGATCCACATCTGGGGGAAAAACGGGGAAATTGGGCAAAACAGGGCAAAAATGGGGGAAAAAACAGAAAAAAAAGAGGAAAATGGGGAGAAAATGGGGGAAAATGGGGAAAAATTGAGAAAAACGGGGAAAAATGGGGAAAAAACAGAAAAACAATTGGAGAAAAATCGGGGGGAAAATGGGGGGAAATGGGAGGGAAAAATGGGGAAAAAATGGGGAAAAACAGAAAAAAAATTGGGGTAAAAACAGGAAAAAATTGAGAAAAACGGGAAAAAAATGGGGAAAAATGGGAGAAAATAGGGGAAAAAATGAGGGAAAATAGGGAAAAAGGCAGGGGGGAAATGGGAAAAAATGGGAGAAAAACAGAAAAAAATGGGGAAAAACAGAAAAAATCAGGGGGTGGGAGGAGGAATAGGAAGAGGGAGGGAACAGGAGAGTGGGGGGAAAACTGGGGGGTGGAAAATGGGGATTTGGGGAGGAATATTGGGGATTTTGAGGGGGAAAAGGGATTTAGTAGGGAAAACAGGACTTTGGGGAAAGAAAATGGGATTTTGGGGAGGGAAAATTGGATTTTGAGGGTAAAATTGGGTATTTTTGGGGGGAATATTTGGGATTTTGGGGGGGAAAAAAGGGATTTTGGATCTAGGAGGGAAAATGGGATTTTGGGGAGGAAATTGGAGCTCAGGGGTGAACAGGGCTGGGGAGCCCCAAAATCACCTTGAAGTCGGGGAACACGGGCATCACCTCCAGGGGGGTCACCCGGGGCTTGCTGTAGTGCTGAGAGATCTGCAGGGAGAGCGGGGTGAGCCCCAAGCAGCCCCGAAGAAACCCCAAAACAGCCCCAAAGAAACCCCAAAACAACCCCAGGAACCCCCAGAAACAGCCCCAAAGAAACCCCAAATCCTCCCCAAAATCACCCCAAAATCAGCCCCAGGAACCCCCAAAACCCTCCCCAAAATCAGCCCCAGGAACCCCCAGAAACAGCCCCAAAGAAACCCCAAATCCTCCCCAAAATCACCCCAAAATCAGCCCCAGGAACCCCCAAAACCCTCCCCAAAATCAGCCCCAGGAACCCCCAGAAACAGCCCCAAGAAACACCCGAATCCCTCCCCAAAAATCCCCTAAAATCACCCCCAAAACACCTGGAAAAAACCCAAAACCCTCCCCAAAATCAGCCCCAGGAACCCCCAGAAACAGCCCCAAAGAAACCCCAAATCCTCCCCAAAATCACCCCAAAATCAGCCCCAGGAACGCCCAGAATCAGCCCCAAGAAACACCTGAATCCCTCCCCAAAAATCCCCTAAAATCACCCCCAAAACACCTGGAAAAAACCCAAAACCCTCCCCAAAATCACCCCCAAACACAGCCTAAAACCCCCAAAAACTCCTCCCAAAAATCACCGAAAAAAATCCCCCCAAAAATCCCAAAAAAATTCCCCAAAATTCCAAAAAATCCCCAAAAATCCCCCAAAAAATTCTCCCAAAACTCCCAAAAAATCATCAAAAAATCTGCAAAAATCCCCCCAAAAATCCCCAAAAAACCCCAAAAACATCACCAAAATTACCCCAAAAAGTCCCCAAAAACATCCCAAAATCACCGCAAAAACATCCCCAAAACCACCCCAGAAATCTCCCCAAAAACCCCAAAACTGCTCCCAAAGAACCCCAAAAGCCCCAAAAGCCCCAGAAAGCCCCAAACCCCCAGAATTTCCCCCAAAAGCCCCAACTGCCCCAAAACAGCCCCAAAAACAGCCTCAAAAACAGCCCAGAACCAGCCCAAAAACTGCCCAAAACCAGCCCCAAAAACTGCCCCAGAACGGCCCAGAACCAGCCCAAAACCGCCCGAAAATCGCCCGAAAATCGCCCCAAAAACTGCCCCGAAACAGCCCAGAAACAGCCCAAAAACTGCCCCAAAACAGCCCCAAAACAGCCCAAAACCAGCCCAAAAACTGCCCCAAAACAGCCCAGAAACAGAGCCAGAACAGCCCAGAACCACCCCAAAAACTGCCCCAAAACAGCCCCAAAACAGCCCAAAACCCGCCCCAAAAACCACCCCAAAAACAGAGCCAAAACAGCCCAAAAACACCCCAAAAACTGCCCCAAAACAGAGCCAGAACAGCCCAAAACAGCCCAAAACGGACCCAAAATGGACCCAAAACCAGCCCCAAAACTGCCCCAAAACCAGACTCAAATCAGGGCAGACTCACCCCAAAAACAGACCCAAAACCAGCCCGGATTTGGGGTGAGAACGGGGATTTGGGGCCAGAGTGGGGGGTTTGGGGTGAGAATGGGGGGATTTAGGGTCAGAGTGGGGGGTTTGGGGTCAGCTCAAAGGGTTTGGGGTGAGAACGGGGATTTGGGGTCAGGATGGGGGATTTGGGGTCAGAGCGAGGGTTTGGGGTGATTTTGAGGCAGTTTTGGGGCTCTTTTAGGACGATTTTAGGAGAGCCCTGAGGCAGTTTTTGGGTGGTTTTGGGCTGTTTGGAGTGGTTTTGGAGCAGTTTTTGGGTGGTTTCAGGGCTGTTTGGTGCTGGTTTTGGGCAGTTTTTGCCCGTTTTTAGGCAGTTTTTGGGGCAGTTTGTTTTGGGGTGATTTTGGGGTGATTTGGGGCGGTTTTGGGCTCACCCCCGGGGTCTATCCTGTAGGTGTCAGGGTTGATGAGGTCGATGGGGCAGTTTTGGGTGGTTTTAGGGCAGTTTTTGGGTGATTTTAGGGCAGTTTTAGGGTGGTTTCAGGGCTGTTTGGTGCTGGTTTTGGGCCGTTTTTGGGGCTGTTTGTTTCGGGGTGATTTTGGGGTGATTTGGGGCGGTTTTGGGGCTCACCCCCGGGGTCTATCCTGTAGGTATCCGGGTTGATGAGGTCGATGGGGCAGTTTTTGGGCTGTTTTAGGGTGGTTTTGAGGCAGTTTTGGGGCTGTTTTAGGCCGTTTTTGGGCCGTTTTTAGGCAGTTTTGGGGCTGTTTGTTTTGGGGTGATTCGGGGCGGTTTTGGGGCAGTTTTGGGCTCACCCCCGGGGTCTATCCTGTAGGTATCCGGGTTGATGAGGTCCATGGGGCAGTTTTTGGGCTGTTTTAGGGTGGTTTTGAGGCAGTTTTGGGGCCGTTTTTGGGCAGTTTTTGGCCGGTTTTGGGGCTGTTTTTTTCAGGGTGATTTTGGGGTGATTTGGGGCGGTT